ATTTTAGCGGAAATCTTGATCTTATTCGATTTCTTAAAACGATCCAAGACGAGGGTTTATACGCAATTCTTCGAATTGGACCTTATGCATGCGCGGAGTGGAATTATGGGTAAATTAATTCACTTGGTTGTTTTATCAATACTTGAATAATTAATTTTTTTAGTACAAATAACTTATTAATTTCTTGAATAATATTGAATAGGGGTTTTCCTATGTGGCTGCATAATATGCCTGGAGTTGCTTTTCGAACCAAAAACGACGTGTTTATGGTAATTACTTTCTTTTTCAATGAAAATTTCCCAATTATTTGTTATTTACATTTTCATTCTTATTCAGAATGAAATGAAAATTTACAAGCTTGATAGTGATATGGTGAAAGCAGAGAAACTATTTGCATCCCAAGGAGGTCATATAATTCTGCTCAGGTATACATATATAAATTGATGTTTTATTAATATTGTTTTTATGATTGCTAAATAATATTTTATATGTATAGATTGAGAATGAATATGGCAACGTGATGAAACCATACGGAGAAGACGGGAAATCTTATATTAATTGGTGTGCTCAAATGGCTGATTCTCTGGATATTGGAATCCCATGGATTATGTGTCAGCAAGCTGGTGCTCCAAAGCCAATGGTATTTAATTTTTCATTAATTAAATATTTTATGTTATTTTATGTTAATTAGTTTGTTTTTTATTTTGTAATCCTAATCAGTTGGAGACTTGCAATGGTTGGTATTGTGATCAATACAAACCAAAAGACCCCGATACCCTAAAATGTGGACTGAAAATTGGACTGGATGGTAAGTTGGTAAGTTTCCTGTCTTTTTAATTTGAAAATTATATATTAGTATAAACTTGATTTTAATGAATCTTAGGTTTAAGAGTTGGGGTGGCGCAGACCCACTTAGAACAGCAGAAGATCTCGCTTTTTCTGTTGCTCGATTTTTTCAAAAGGGCGGTACATTACAAAACTACTATATGGTCAGTGATTCTTTTTTTCCCTCTTTAAACAAAATAATAATTTGTCTATATTAGTATTTAACCTTTTTCTTGTAATTTTTAGTATCATGGCGGTACCAATTTTGGGTAGAACTTCGGGTGGCCCATATGACCACTTCATATGACTATAACGCACCTCTTGATGAATATGGTAATTTCTTGCCTTTGGTAATAGTTTTCTTTATAATTTATAAATAATTTATTAATTCTATTTTATTTAGGGAATCTGAATCAACCGAAATGGGGACATTTGAAGCAGCTTCATGATGTTTTACATTCCATTGAGTATACTCTCACTCACGGAGATGTTCACACTCAAAAACTTTGATAATTCTGTCACGGTAATAAATTAAAAGTAAAAAAATAAATTAAATATATAATTTATTCTAATTAATTTTCTTTGATTATATTTGATTCAGGCCACTGTTTATCAAACGAATGATAAATCGAGTTGCTTTTTGAGCAATTCAAATACTACAACAGATGTTAATGTCAATTTTGGAGGAATCGATTACTTTGTTCCAGCAGTCTATTAGTATTCTTCCGGATTGTAGGGAAGAAGCATATAATACGGCAAAGGTTCGTTTTTTTTTTTTGCTCGGTAAATTTAATTTTTTTAATGATTCGTCAAACCTAAGTTAAGAGCCTCATTAAAAACCTCCCTAACCTAGATGGAGGAAAAGAGTGCTCAAAATTAGGTAAAAGGTACAAAACCAACCAGAAGCTAGCTAAATGAATACAACGAAACAGGCAATTGATCCATTCAGACAAATCCAATTATCTACCAAACTGCCCACCCTTACATTGTACATCATTAAATTGTTTCAAATACCAAAACTCCAAGCACCACACCTGAGAGAGTTCCTGCAGTTTAAACTTGATGAAACAATGGCCTGCTTTATCAATTGACCATACTAACCTGTCCGGGACATCACGCTTCAAAATCATGAAATGAGTTCGCTCTTTTAGGACTTGAAACAATGCCTTTTCTCTATCCAGCAGATTCTTAGTTAAGATCCCCTCCCAATGACTCAAAACAAAGTCCCCATTAACTGCGAATTCAGTCACAGGAATCCTTTTACATCTGAATCCAAACTTGTTTCAAACAGCAGCAACACCCTCGGTATCAATCCAGACCCAAAGATGACAAACAGGCAGGAATGAACAAAACACGAGTGAAATTCAAAAACTCTCTAAAATCACTCGTAATAACTAACCCAACTAACAAAAAACAAAGCCAGCATACTAATGAAGAGAAAACTAACATATTAACAACCAGGTCGGGAGCCAAAGCAATTCGCTTTACCACCAAGCTTCTGACTTCTGCAGAACTTCTATATCCAACCAATAAGCTATCAAATTGTGAAAATACATTATGATTGAAAACGAGTTTGCGTATGTAATTAGGTTTATGCTCAAACTTCAATGATGATTAAGAAATCAAACAAAGCTGAAGATGAGCCGGATTCTCTGAAATGGACTTGGAGACCTGAATTGATTGAATCGGCTTCGGTTCAAGGAAAGGGAGATGTTTCCGTTAACAGGATTGTTGATCAAAAGATATGGCAAATGATGCTAGTGACTACTGTGGTATATGACAAGGTAAATTAGTTATTTGTACTACATATACTTCATTCGATATTTGTATAAACATATATTTGATTCATTTGTTTTGACAGTGTCGAGCTTGCAAGAGATGATCTCACGTTAAATGAAACCGTGACTCTTCGTGTAACTGATACTGGCCATGTACTTCATGTTTTTATCCATGGAAAATACATCGGTAAACGAACGATATTTAATATGTATTGAATTAAAATAGATCTGTATATAAAATATTGCAAATAATTGTATGTAAAAATTTGTTTCTTAGGTTCTCGATGGGCAAAATATGGCAACAACGTGACGTACGTTTTCGAGAAAAATATCAATCTATCACCGGGAAGAAACTTGATATCGTTACTTAGTGCTACAGTTGGATTCAAGGATATATATACATAGAACTCATGAATAATCATAAATTTTACTATGATTTTTATTACTAATATATGCGTGCGTACAGAACTATGAAGCAAAGTTTGACTTGGTTGGAGCTGGAATTACATCACCTGTAGAATTAGTTTTGAAGAAGGGAGACGAGACAATTATCAAAGATCTATCTTCAAATAAATGGACCTATAAAATAGGTTTGGATGGAATTTCAAACAAATTTTTTGACCCTTCAAAATCATCGTTGAAATGGATTTCAGATCAAATTCCAATTAACAAGAACTTCACTTGGTACAAGGTAAATAAATGATTTACTTTATATATATATATATATATGATATTGATATTGATTTTCTTATGTTGAAATTTCAGACAACATTCAAGGCTCCTTGGGGAACAAACCAGTTGTGGTGGATTTACTGGGTTTAGGAAAAGGCATGGCCTGGGTGAATGGTCATAGTCTTGGTAGATATTGGCCGAGTTATATAGCTAATAAGCAGCTTTGCAAGACAAAGGCTTGTGATTATCGTGGCAGATATAGTGATAAAAATGTCTTTCCAAGTGTGGTGAACCTACCCAAAGATGGTAACCTAAGTTATGTATATTATATTTTCGAGGAGATTTTTATTTTCTTTTACTGACTATTGTGATCTTGTTGTGGTTTTAAAGGTATCATATCCCTCGATCATTTCTTGATGATGGTGATAATACATTGGTTTTGTTTGAAGAATTTGGTGGTAATCCTTCATATGTACAATTTCAAACCGTTGAAATTGGATCGATTTGCATTAATGCTTACGAAGGAAAACGGGTGGAATTGTCTTGTCATAATCGACCGATTTCAAAGATTGAATTTGCAAGTTTTGGTCATCCACAAGGTGTTTGTGGATCATTTGAGAAAGGTGAATGTGAATCGGATGTGGATGTAGTATCGATACTGGAAAAAGTAAGTTAAGAATCCATATTTATGTAAAAAGTGGGTTAAAATTTTATAATTTTGTTTTAATTTTTTCCTTTTTGAAATTTAACAGGAATGCGTAGGGAAAGAGTCATGTTCATTCGAGATTTCTCAAGACAAATTCGGAAAAGCTTATTGTGAAGTTAGAAGATTAACCGTGGAAGCCGTTTGTGAAGATTTTATATTTTAAATTTTTGAGTATTTATTATTATATATAGGAAAGGAATTTTATTCATTTTTTAATTATTTTAAGAAATTATACTAGGTTATCATGTTTCCGACAGACATTAATAAAAATTATATATACAAGTATTTTTTTTATTTCCGTTCTTGTTATCAAGGTAACTTCAAATTGATGTGGTCGAATACGTAATCGATGTTGTTGCATGAGTTGCATCCGTTGTTGTTCAAAGACGAATAATCAATGTGTTAACCGAGTTATGCACTGTTCTGGCATGCATAGGCTGCTCGGAGCCAAGGGCAAAACTATTATGAGATTTTAGAAGGGGCCAAATTGCTTATATTAAAACTAATTAGGTAAACCACACAAAAAAATAGAGGATTGAGACTTAATTTCACTAATTTCAAAATTACCATGTCCTAAAAAGTAATTAAACCAAAAAAGTTAGATGCTTAATCTCATTTAACTTTAAAATAGATAATGTATTAAAAAATAATTAAACAAAAAAATTTAGGAGGACCAAGGTTTAATTTTAATGATTTCAAAACTTTAAAGACTTAAAATACAATCAAACTATATTTTATATAAGCGTTTATGATATAACTATATGTTAATAAAAGCATGTTTAGTGCTCGATTTTTCCAAAAGGAAGTACATTGATTTAATCATAAGGGGTACGTAATCTAAAAACTGCCTAAATGTGTAAGTCATCTCCCTCTCATGCTAGCTTCTGTATCATAGTGATGGAGGCTAAATTCATCTCCAAGATGCTTGTTCCACAGGAAAACACATTCTTGAGGCCATATTGTAGTGATCTACAAGTTGATGAGCATTACTAAATTCCGCAAGTTTCTGCGAACTCAGTTAAGCCGCCAAACCATTTCGTTAGCAGTCCATAAGAGCCAGATGATATCCAGTGAACGGTGGCATCAAAAAGCTCTAGAACAATGAAACCCACATTATTTTTCTCAATTTTTTACAAAGCAAGAAAGCTACACCCCAGATACAGATGAAGATCTAGCAGAGATAAAATACCTTCCAGATCTTGAATATTCAACGGAAGAATCTCTTACGACATCGCGCAGATCCAAGCTCCTCATACTCTGCCTTAGTGATATGCATTGATTCATAGTCGGGACTAGATGCCAAAAGTGAACCCCCTCGCCACACTCCTAGGATTGGACTGAAGCATCCCAAAGAATTTACTTTACCACATGAGAAGAAATAGCTTTCGAAGACGTGTAACACATTAAAACCTAATATTCGAAGGTGAGAGTTTACTCTTCTTGAGTTGTTATGTTGATTTGGGAGTCATCTGTAACTAGAGGGCGGAGATCCTTATCCCTGAGAGTTTGGCATTGAAAAATGAGTGTAAATCAAAGTGGAAGCTAAAAAATGATATTACTACAGGCCGATGTGAAGTGAAGGAGCTTACAGTCTCTCAACAAATCTTGGGAACAAAGTGCTGCCACCAGTCAATATTATGCTGCTCAGGCACGAAATTTGAACAATTTTAAGTGGCATGAACGAATTAAAATTGAAAATTTCAGAGGCTTTCTAGAATTGTACTTGAAGAATGTTAAACACACATTTGGTAAAGTACATGATGAAGGATGGCAGGCATCGACGGCTCAAACAATACATTCTGCTAGTCCAGCCTCGTTCATTCCTGTAAAGAGAAGGGTAATTGGCACCATGTGTGTATTTAAGTATTAGGCGAAAACCGAAACAATGTTCCCATTTCTAACGTCACTGGCCATTAAGCAACAAAACATTTTCTTAAATGATTTAATCTCCAACCATGGCTTTAGCAAATTAGACTACTGGTTCTAGAGCTAAATTCCAAAATTTCTGCCTCCAAACCTCAAATAACTTCTTGAACATCTCTAGATTGGTTCCTTCCTAAACTGGAAGACCCTAGAGATTACTTAAAAATTAGAAAAATGAGAATGTAACACCCACAAACCAATGCGAGTGACCCGATCTGATCCGAGGTGTCACATTTGGGGTCACCGTAGAGACCCACAATAAAAATCCCGAAAAAATTTAAAATTTCTATTAAAACATTAAAATCATAAAAAAATTGTAATTAAAATACAAGTTCGGAAAACCATTCAAATATTATAGACATATTAAAATCATACACATTCATACTCTTATATAAAAACAGAATACCATCTACATGCCTCCTAAACACATGCACCGTACTCCGCAAGCAACGCCGGTGGAGCTCCTTTACTGATGTTGATAGTTACACTGGTTCAAATCTTTTAACCTGAAATAGTGAATAACCTATTGAGCTTTGGGAAACTCAGTAATACAAAACTATCAAAAGATGCTGAAGGACATGCAGATAATAGGTAAGCATAATTTTCCTTATTGATTCAGACATCTACAGATTCTTATGATGAGCTGAGGTCCCACTGATATCACAGGTAGTAAAAGACAGGAAGCTTCCAATTTGGAGTAAACGTTCGGAGGACCAGGTTCAAGAGATCATAATAGGATGCCTAGTGTTCCCACAAAACCAGTGAACATGTATAGATCTTTTTAAAACAGTAGCAGTTTAAAACGCATTTTTAAAACCATAGTAAAACCCTCCAACCGAACGCCAATATGCAATTCCCCAGAACTGCATCCATAAGGACTTACCCTAGGCCCAAAGGGCGTAGGTGTGAACCTAAGGGAGCATCTTAGGTCCATAAGGCCTTACCATAGCCGAAGTGTAGGTGCCCACCTGAGAGGAGTGCCCTCAAGCCCATAAGAACTTACCCAATGCACACAGCAGGGGAACCACCCTAAGGGATTACCTTATGGTCCATAAGGTCTTACCACTAGGCCATTAGGCCCAAGAGCCCACCCAAGAGTCGCCTTAGGTCCATAAGGAATTACCAGTCGGTGATGAACCTATACAAGGAATTACAAGTAGCGATTGAACCTACCAGAGTCTTCAGTCATACCAGAGTCCCAGAGTACCCCGTATAAAAAAATTTCAGTCAGTAAATAGAGATATCAAAAGTCAAAGATTAGAACAGAAATCAGATATCAGAACATATATCAACGTTCAGAGCAGAAATCAAAGGTTATATTGTATTTCAGATAACAAAGATATACTTTTAAAACCAGAGAAAACATCTGTGTGATCATGGAACACACTAGAGGTTCTAGTTATTATTCGGAGGTGATTGGTATTTATCAGATAGAGAGTCATGAAACTTCTGTAAACTGGTTAAATTCAGAGAGGAGATCCCCATAAAAGGGTTTGATAGCTGACAAATTCATCAGCTATTCAGAACATTTTGTATCATGATCATATAGTATTGGGATATTTTTCGGAGGCACTATGTAATCAGATAGGTATTCAGAATTCTTTGCATCAGAGTTACTCGTGTTTTCAGATATGACAAGAGTAATTCCATTATCCAGGAAATCATGGGCATTTTGGGCATTAGGTTCTTGGAGAATTCTTAGTGATTTGAGCTAATAAGGGAGAAACAAAGATTCAGGGCATTTACGATTTGTGTCGATCTATCGGAATATCGAGTTAACACGAACTATACAAATCCCAACAATGATACCTGTAACCCGGTCAAATCGTTGCACTTCATGGGTATTCACTCTTTAATACAGACAACTCTTGTCGATTGATCATCTTCAGAATCATCGATGAATGGATCTTTGGGAGACTAACAGATATTCCAATGGTCTTTATTTCATTTCTACATTGTAACGATATCAGGAAATGTCGACGTGCTTGATTCGTGTTTCAAAACCCTTATAGACGGTACAACATATAAGATCACCAGTGTTTCTAGACTTATCCAAGTTATTCGCTTAATTCAATGTCATTTGGGTACATAAATCAATTAGTATTCAAGTTTATCCCGGTCACTTAGGAGTTTCCAGAGTAATTCTATCGTTTTAACAATTCGAATACATACAGTACTTCCATTCAGTTCAACTTTGTCATTTCGAGAAATCCATACGTGTAAGGAACTTTCGGTAATATAGCCTCCGGGTGTTCGCTCAGGAATTAGAAAATTTAAGTCTTTTACCATCTCAAAGATCATGATCGATTAACATGATTATTTTCACTTTCTAGGAAAATCTTTATCTTTTATATCATACCGGTATTTTCGTAGATTCGATTATCCAAGTTGGAGGAAACAGAACTCAATTCAGCCATAAGCTCTTTATAAAGGTAACAAACTCTGGAACTGACTTGTTTGTCCCTTCATATTACTAATTAATCTATTAATAATATTATTATTTTAATTAATTAATTAATCTATTATTGATCATATGTGTTTAAATTTATATAAAACTAAATATTACAAGAATAATTGAGATTAATATTATTAATTTAATATATTTAGAAAATCTTTTTTAATTAAGATCAATTAATTGATTAATATCTACTAATTTATAATATGATATACAAAATTTAAGTTAACGTATAGTATGATATAAGAACTTTAATTCATAAATACAAAAAAAATTAATTTTTTAATGATCATATTACTAATTTAAGTAGATGTCAAATCACACTATTTCAAATATATCTAAAGCTAAATTCTATAAGAATCATTAATTTAATACAACAAGAAACTTTTTTTTATTTTTAATTAAGATTAATAAATTAATTAATATCTAAATCATTACAGTTAGATATAACTAAAAGTGTAGAAATTAACTCCAAAAGTCCTACTATTAAATCCAAAACTGTTGATTTTGTCGAATTATATTTGTCATAAATAGTCTAATTAGACATCTTCTTAGTCTAGTACTTAATATGAATATGATGACTAACATTATAAATACAACAGTGCACTTCGTCGATATTTGAATCAATTATCTTTTCACAAAAGAATCATATTAATATGAAGATCTTCAAATTCTTCTTTCACGTTGTTGTTTTCTCTTCAATTATATTTCATGTCAATGCTCACAATGTCACTCACGATTCGAGATCAATCATCATTGATGGAACTCATCGAATCATTCTCTCGGGTTCAATTCATTATCCAAGAAGTACTGCTCAGGTAATAATAAAATTCAACTGAAATATTTAGTTAAATTTTGAATTCGTGTTAATTTTGTTGAATTTTGATAGATGTGGCCTGATCTTATAAGAAAAGCCAAAGAAGGTGGATTGGATGCGGTTGAAACATATGTATTTTGGAATGCGCATGAACCGGTTCGTCGTCAATATGATTTTAGCGGAAATCTTGATCTTATTCGATTTCTTAAAACGATCCAAGACGAGGGTTTATACGCAATTCTTCGAATTGGACCTTATGCATGCGCGGAGTGGAATTATGGGTAAATTAATTCACTTGGTTTGTTTTTATCAATTACTTGAATAATTAATTTTTTTAGTACAAATAACTTTATTAATTTCTTGAATAATATTGAATAGGGGTTTTCCTATGTGGCTGCATAATATGCCTGGAGTTGCTTTTCGAACCAAAAACGACGTGTTTATGGTAATTACATTCTTTTTCAATGAAAATTTTCCCAATTATTTGTTTATTTACATTTTTCATTCTTTATTTCAGAATGAAATGAAAAATTTTACAAGCTTGATAGTTGATATGGTGAAAGCAGAGAAACTATTTGCATCCCAAGGAGGTCATATAATTCTTGCTCAGGTATACATATATAAATTGATGTTTTTATTAATATTGTTTTTATGATTGCTAAATAATATTTTATATGTATAGATTGAGAATGAATATGGCAACGTGATGAAACCATACGGAGAAGACGGGAAATCTTATATTAATTGGTGTGCTCAAATGGCTGATTCTCTGGATATTGGAGTCCCATGGATTATGTGTCAGCAAGCTGGTGCTCCAAAGCCAATGGTATTTAATTTTTCATTAATTAAATATTTTATGTTATTTATTTTATGTTAATTTAGTTTGTTTTTTATTTTGTAATCCTAATCAGTTGGAGACTTGCAATGGTTGGTATTGTGATCAATACAAACCAAAAGACCCCGATACCCCTAAAATGTGGACTGAAAATTGGACTGGATGGTAAGTTTCCTGTCTTTTTAATTTGAAAATTATATATTAGTATAAACTTGATTTTAATGAATCTTAGGTTTAAGAGTTGGGGTGGCGCAGACCCACTTAGAACAGCAGAAGATCTCGCTTTTTCTGTTGCTCGATTTTTTCAAAAGGGCGGTACATTACAAAACTACTATATGGTCAGTGATTCTTTTTTTCCCTCTTTAAACAAAATAATAATTTGTGTATATTAGTATTTAACCTTTTTTCTTGTAATTTTTAGTATCATGGCGGTACCAATTTTGGTAGAACTTCGGGTGGCCCATATATGACCACTTCATATGACTATAACGCACCTCTTGATGAATATGGTAATTTCTTGCCTTTGGTAATAGTTTTCTTTATAATTTATAAATAATTTATTAATTCTATTTTATTTAGGGAATCTGAATCAACCGAAATGGGGACATTTGAAGCACCTTCATGATGTTTTACATTCCATTGAGTATACTCTCACTCACGGAGATGTTCACACTCAAAAACTTGATAATTCTGTCACGGTAATAAATTAAAAGTAAAAAAATAAATTAAATATATAATTTATTCTAATTAATTTTCTTTGATTATATTTGATTCAGGCCACTGTTTATCAAACGAATGATAAATCGAGTTGCTTTTTGAGCAATTCAAATACTACAACAGATGTTAATGTCAATTTTGGAGGAATCGATTACTTTGTTCCAGCATGGTCTATTAGTATTCTTCCGGATTGTAGGGAAGAAGCATATAATACGGCAAAGGTACGTTTTTTTTTGCTCGGTAATTTTTTTAATGATTCGTCAAACCTAAGTTAAGAGCCTCATTAAAAACCTCCCTAACCTAGATGGAGGAAAAGAGTGCTCAAAATTAGGTAAAAGGTACAAAACTAACCAGAAGCTAGCTAAATGAATACAACGAAACAGGCAATTGATCCATTCAGACAAATCCAATTATCTACCAAACTGCCCACCCTTACATTGTACAGCATTAAATTGTTTCAAATACCAAAACTCCAAGCACCACACCTGAGAGAGTTCCTGCAGTTTAAACTTGATGAAACAATGGCTTGCTTTATCAATTGACCATACTAACCTGTCCGGGACATCACGCTTCAAAATCATGAAATGAGTTCGCTCTTTTAGGACGTGAAACAATGCCTTTTCTCTATCCTGCAGATTCTTAGTTAAGATCCCCTCCCAATGACTCAAAACAAAGCTCCCCATTAACTGCGAATTCAGTCACAGGAATCCTTTTACATCTGAATCCAAACTTGTTTCAAACAGCAGCAACACCCTCGGTATCAATTCAGACCCAAAGATGACAAACAGGCAGGAATGAACAAAACACGAGTGAAATTCAAAAACTCTCTAAAATCACTCGTAATAACTAACCCAACTAACAAAAAACAAAGCCAGCATACTAATGAAGAGAAAACTAACATATTAACAACCAGGTCGGGAGCCAAAGCAATTCGCTTTACCACCAAGCTTCTGACTTCTGCAGAACTTCTATATCCAACCAATAAGCTATCAAAATTGTGAAAATACATTATGATTGAAAACGAGTTTGCGTATGTAATTAGGTTTATGCTCAAACTTCAATGATGATTAAGAAATCAAACAAAGCTGAAGATGAGCCGGATTCTCTGAAATGGACTTGGAGACCTGAATTGATTGAATCGGCTTCGGTTCAAGGAAAGGGAGATGTTTCCGTTAACAGGATTGTTGATCAAAAAGATATGGCAAATGATGCTAGTGACTACTTGTGGTATATGACAAGGTAAATTAGTTATTTGTACTACATATACTTCATTCGATATTTGTATAAACATATATTTTGATTCATTTGTTTTGACAGTGTCGAGCTTGCAAGAGATGATCTCACGTTAAATGAAACCGTGACTCTTCGTGTAACTGATACTGGCCATGTTCTTCATGGTTTTATCCATGGAAAATACATCGGTAAACGAACGATATTTAATATGTATTGAATTAAAATAGATCTGTATATAAAATATTGCAAATAATTGTATGTAAAAATTTGTTTCTTAGGTTCTCGATGGGCAAAATATGGCAACAACGTGACGTACGTTTTCGAGAAAAATATCAATCTATCACCGGGAAGAAACTTGATATCGTTACTTAGTGCTACAGTTGGATTCAAGGTATATATATACATAGAACTCATGAATAATCATAAATTTTACTATGATTTTTATTACTAATATATGCGTGCGTACAGAACTATGAAGCAAAGTTTGACTTGGTTGGAGCTGGAATTACATCACCTGTAGAATTGGTTTTGAAGAAGGGAGACGAGACAATTATCAAAGATCTATCTTCAAATAAATGGACCTATAAAATAGGTTTGGATGGAATTTCAAACAAATTTTTTGACCCTTCAAAATCATCGTTGAAATGGATTTCAGATCAAATTCCAATTAACAAGAACTTCACTTGGTACAAGGTAAATAAATGATTTACTTTATAATATATATATATATATATATATGATATTGATATTGATCTTATGTTGAAATTTCAGACAACATTCAAGGCTCCTTTGGGGAACAAACCAGTTGTGGTGGATTTACTGGGTTTAGGAAAAGGCATGGCCTGGGTGAATGGTCATAGTCTTGGTAGATATTGGCCGAGTTATATAGCTAATAAGCAGCTTTGCAAGACAAAGGCTTGTGATTATCGTGGCAGATATAGTGATAAAAAATGTCTTTCCAAGTGTGGTGAACCTACCCAAAGATGGTAACCTAAGTTATGTATATTATATTTTTCGAGGAGATTTTTATTTTCTTTTACTGACTATTGTGATCTTGTTGTGGTTTTAAAGGTATCATGTCCCTCGATCATTTTTTGAAGATGGTGATAATACATTGGTTTTGTTTGAAGAATTTGGTGGTAATCCTTCATATGTACAATTTCAAACCGTTGAAATTGGATCGATTTGCATTAATGCTTACGAAGGAAAACGGGTGGAATTGTCTTGTCATAATCGACCGATTTCAAAGATTGAATTTGCAAGTTTTGGTCATCCACAAGGTGTTTGTGGATCATTTGAGAAAGGTGAATGTGAATCGGATGTGGATGTAGTATCGATACTGGAAAAAGTAAGTTAAGAATCCATATTTATGTAAAATGTGGGTTAAAATTTTATAATTTTGTTTTTAATTGATAATATTTTTTTCCTTTTTGAAATTTAACAGGAATGCGTAGGGAAAGAGTCATGTTCATTCGAGATTTCTCAAGACAAATTTGGAAAAGCTTATTGTGAAGTTAGAAGATTAACCGTGGAAGCCGTTTGTGAAGATTTTATATTTTAAATTTTTGAGTATTTATTATTATTATAGGAAAGGAATTTTATTCATTTTTTAATTATTTTAAGAAATTATACTAGGTTATCATGTTTCCGACAGACATTAATAAAAATTATATATACAAGTATTTTTTTTATTTCCGTTCTTGTTATCAAGGTAACTTCAAATTGATGTGGTCGAATACGTAATCGATGTTGTTGCATGAGTTGCATCCGTTGTTGTTCAAAGACGAATAATCAATGTGTTAACCGAGTTATGCACTGTTCTGGCATGCATAGGCTGCTCGGAGCCAAGGGCAAAACTATTATGAGATTTTAGAAGGGGCCAAATTGCTTATATTTAAAACTAATTAGGTAAACCACACAAAAAAATAGAGGATTGAGACTTAATTTCACTAATTTCAAAATTACCATGTCCTAAAAAGTAATTAAACCAAAAAAGTTAGATGCTTAATCTCATTTAACTTTAAAATAGATAATGTATTAAAAAATAATTAAACAAAAAAATTTAGGAGGACCAAGGTTTAATTTTAATGATTTCAAAGCTTTAAAGGACTTAAAATACAATCAAACTATATTTTATATAAGCGTTTATGATATAACTATATGTTAATAAAAGCATGTTTAGTGCTCGATTTTTCCAAAAGGAAGTACATTGATTTAATCATAAGGGGTACGTAATCTAAAAACTGCCTAAATGTGTAAGTCATCTCCCTCTCATGCTAGCTTCTGTATCATAGTGATGGAGGCTAAATTCATCTCCAAGATGCTTGTTCCACAGGAAAACACATTCTTGAGGCCATATTGTAGTGATCTACAAGTTGATGAGCATTACTAAATTCCGCAAGTTTCTGCGAACTCAGTTAAGCCGCCAAACCATTTCGTTTGCAGTCCATAAGAGCCAGATGATATCCAGTGAACGGTGGCATCAAAAAGCTCTAGAACAATGAAACCCACATTATTTTGATCAATTTTTTACAAAGCAAGAAACCTACACCCCAGATACAGATGAAGATCTAGCAGAGATAAAATACCTTCCAGATCTTGAATATTCAACGGAAGAATCTCTTACGACATCGCGCAGATCCAAGCTCCTCATACTCTGCCTTAGTGATATGCATTGATTCATAGTCGGGACTAGATGCCAAAAGTGAACCCCCTCGCCACACTCCTAGGATTGGACTGAAGCATCCCAAAGAATTTACTTTACCACAGAAGAAATAGCTTTCGAAGACGTGTAACACATTAAAACCTAATATTCGAAGGTGAGAGTTTACTCTTCTTGAGTTATTATGTTGATTTGAGAGTCATCTGGAACTAGAGGGCGGAGATCCTTCTCCCTGAGAGTTTGGCATTGAAAAATGAGTGTAAATCAAAGTGGAAGCTAAAAATGATATTACTACAGGCCGATGTGAAGTGAAGGAGCTTACAGTCTCTCAGCAAATCTTGGGAACAAAGTGCTGCCACCAGTCAATATTATGCTGCTCAGGCACGAAATTTGAACAATTTTAAGTGGCATGAACGAATTAAAATTGAAAATTTCAGAGGCTTTCTAGAATTGTACTTGAAGAATGTTAAACACGCCTTTGGTAAAGTACAGGATGAAGGATGGCAGGCATTGACGGCTCGAACAATACATTCTGCTAGTCCAGCCTCGTTCATTCCTGTAAAGAGAAGGGTAATTGGCACCATGTGTGTATTTAAGTATTAGGCGAAAACCGAAACAATGTTCCCATTTCTAACGTCACTGGCCATTAAGCAACAACACATTTTCTTAAATGATTTAATCTCAAACCCATGGCTTTAGCAAATTAGACTACTGCTAAATTCCAAAATTTCTGCCTCCAAACCTCAAATAACTTCTTGAACATCTCTAGATTGGTTCCTTCCTAAACTGGAAAACCCTGAAGATTACTTAACAATTAGAAAAAGGAGAATGTAACACCCACAAACCGATGCGAGTGACCCGATCTGATCCGAGGTGTCACATTTGGGGTCACCGTAGCGACCCACAATAAAAATCCCGAAAAAATTTAAAATTTCTATTAAAACATGTAAAATCATAAAAAAATTGTAATTAAAATACAAGTTCGGAAAACCATTCAAATATTATAGACATATTAAAATCATACACGTTCATACTCTTATATAAAAACAGAATACCATCTACATGCCTCCTAAACACATGCACCGTACTCCGCAAGCAACGCCGGTGGAGCTCCTTTACTGATGTTGATAGTTACACTGGTTCAAATCTTTTAACCTGGAATAGTGAATAACCTATTGAGCTTTGGGAAACCCAGTAATTCAAAACTATCAAAAGATACTGAAGGGCATGCAGATAATAGGTAAGCATAATTTTCCTTATTGATTCAGACATCTACAGATTCTTATGTTGAGCTGAGGTCCCATTGATATCACAGGTAGTAATAGACAGGAAGTTTCCAGTTTGGAGTAAACGTTCGAAGGACCAGGTTCAAGAGATCATAATAGGATGCCTAGTGTGTTCCCACAAAACCAGTGAACATGTTAGATCTTTTTAAAACAGTAGCAGTTTAAAACGCATTTTTAAAACCATAGTAAAACCCTCCAACCAAACGCCAATATGCAATTCCCCAGAACTGCATCCATAAGGACTTTATAACAACCCGAAAATTTCAAAATAATATTTAATTGCAATTTGAGGTTTTAATTGTGATAATTGGTAAATTATGGGGACTAAATTAGAAGTTTTTAAAACTTATAGCTTATTTTAGAGTTAAAGAAAATTTCGGGACCAAGCCCTGAATTTACCCAAGAAAAATTGGTCATATTGGTTTATATATACATGGTTTTCTGTTTTGAAAATAGAAAACCACTTCCCAAAGCTCCCTTCCCCAACCTCAACTTTCGACTACGATCCCGACGCCGTCCGAATTCCGATCGTCGTTTTAAAACCACCATCGTGTTCGTTATCGAGTGAGGAACAATTTCCTTAAATTAATTAAGGTGAAACGATGCCAAACGCCGGGAATCTCCAGTCAAAGTCTCGACGTTCGTTTCAGCTCAATCGCCGAGAAAATCTTAAATTCATCGTCGATCGTTGCTCCGTTTACGACACCTCCCGCACCATCGTGTTCCTTGTGCCGTTCAGAGTCCGCCGGTACCATCCTCGGTCTCCGTCGACGGTGGCACGTGGGGAGGTGAAGCGGTCAAAGTTTCCGATTTGATGAAATTGAGCTCTCCGCCGTTCAAAAATTTGAACCAATCTTTGTAAGTATCTCGAAATCGCTCAAAATAATTTTTAGAAATTTTTCCATGAATTTTACGCTGCCAGAAACAATCCCACGTGCCGCCACTGCGCCTGGGGAAGCCCAAAATAACTGGTTTGACCGGTTATATTCAAGGGATTATCGGTTTTGACCCGACCCGTTGACCCGACCCGACCCGACCGTTGACAGTTGACCGTTGACCGAGTGACATTTTGGGAATTAATTTGAAAGGGGTGTTATTTTGGGAATTAATTCGAAATGTGTACTATTTTGGGAATTAATTCGAAAATGTGATATTTTGGGAATTTAATTCGAAAAGTGCTATTTTGGGAATTTAAATCGAAAAGGTGCTATTTTGGTAATTATTTAAGAAATGGTGCTATTTCTGTAAAATGGTTGATAGTTTGTTGACCTACCAGAACTTTGACCTGCCATTAAACAACCGTCAATCTTTTTCGAGAATACATATCCTGACATTTTTTGACGTTCCGAATCTGTTTTTGGGGGCGGTTTCACAAAATTCAAACCCGAAAGTCTCCAAATTGTCAGTCAAACCCTTTGACTTTGACTTTGACAATAATTTAAATATCCGAAAGGTCATACTTTATGTTTTTCGACGTCCTGAATCTGATTCCGAAGTCCGTTTTGCCAAATTCTGACCCGAAATTCCTGAATCGAGCTTGTAAACCCAAAAGGCTTAATATTTTAATATTTTGATTATTTATTTGAGATTTGGCTAAGGAATTGATTCAATAAAAATATTTTATTAAGGTACTCGTGTTTCACTTGAGCAAGGATCAGTTAGGTCCGGTGTTGTCCGTTCGTTAGATCAGCCTGAACCGCGTACTACGAGAATTACCCGTAGGTTTCCGTATATTATTTAAATTATATTTAGATTATTTATATTAGGTTTCTAATATGGATTTTTCCAATTCGTAGGATCTAGCGCTGCAGCAGAGCGTGATCGACAAACCCAGCAATAAGCTTCCCTATCTGATTTCTCATACTGTTACGGGTGTGTTTACTGACGGTGTTATCTTACTGTTTTAAACTATCATATAAATGGTTTCAAATTTATGATGATGTTGAATATTATTACAACATGATACTTGTTTTATGAATAATGGTTACCGACACCTGATTTACCGGATATTACTGATCTTATGTATGGTTTATGTAATTCTACATATGATTTCTAAGCATGAACCATTTTCATGTTTTAATGGATTAATATTTATTTCACCTAAATACATACATGTTTATTTCTATCACTGGGATATTACTGAGGGAAGTATTTCAGGCTCCTTTGCTGTGTGCTCAGGGTAAGTCCTTACTGGTGTGCAGGTGGGTGTATGGTTATGGGGAACCTACACATTGTAGTGATTGGAGTGACTGGATGGGGAAGTTATTACTGCAGGCTCCTTTGCTGTGTGCTTAAGGAAAGTCCTTACTGGTGTGCAGGTGGGTGTATGGTTCTGGGGAACCTACACATTATAGTGATGGAAGCGACTGGATAGAGACGTTATTACTGCAGGCTCCTCAGCTTCGTGCTTAGAGTAAGTCCTTATTGGTGTGCAGGTGGGTGTATGTTCGGGAAAATATATAAAAGATAGAAACCGGAGTGATTGAATAGAAATAATGTTCATATTTTAAAATATGTTTGATAACCGATTTTATTGGAATATTTTATTCGTATGTTTTTATGCACTGTTTGGAGCACACTGGGCTTTTTAGCTCATTCTATAGTTTTTACCTT